GAATCCTGGGTACACTGGCAGAGCAGGTGTGGCACAGACATAGCTCCAAAATTTCAGGAGATCCTTTAAGGTAGGCTTCCCCTGCCTGGGCTTGAACATAACCAGGAGTCAGCCCAAGGACCTAGCTGGTTTCTGAGACCAAGGGGAGATGTTTCTCCCACTGCTCAAACAGAGCATGCCAGGGCATTTGTGCAGCCAGGGAGGAAGGCTGGGGGCTTGCAACACCTCACACTGAGTGAATTCACCAGAAACTGGTGGGAAAGGGTACAAAACATTCATGAAGAGATGATATACCAAAGCCACTACGAACTGGGAGGCAGGTCCTGCTCGCCAAAGCACAATCTCCATCTCCAAGGCCATTCCTCAAAAGCAGCCCATCTCCTCACTGGGAGCAATAGGCAAGGGCTAACAGATCTGAACCCAACCTGAAGCAAGGGGAAGAAAGACATCCATGAGGAACAACTGAGGAGCACGATCTACTTGCAACCCTGGAGACCTGCAGAGGAGTGCGTGAAGGAGCAGGGTGAGTTTTTATCACTGCCGCTGGTTGTTCACCCATTTCCACGCCCTGGCACCTGCTGCTGCATTCCCAAGGTTTCAAAACCACTTACTTCTGCCCTCCTGAACCATGTGCCCGGTGCCACTGATTGAAAGTGACAGCTCTGCTCCACACCCTGCCTGCGGGCCCAGGGGACTGACATTTGGCAGCCACACAGGTGTTTCAGCAGATGCACAGCCAGAGAACGAGCACAACTCACTCAACACATTAAACATAGACATGCTGGGATTTTAAGTCTGAAGTGAGGTAAGTGCACTGAAAACTGTTCCTTTGTAAGCTGGCAGCAGGGAGCTCTGTATTTATTGTGGCTGATGAGGGGAAAAGATGGGCTGTACTCATTGCCAGCCCTGACTGCCTGTCTTGGATTGGGAAATCCAGTCTGGCTCCATGCATCAGTACCAGTAATAAAGATGCTGCCAGCCAAATCTCTCCTCCCTTTACATCTGTGCAGGTCCCCCGTGCCAGGCCTGTCCTGAGGGAATTTGAACGAGTTTCTTCCTTGCAGCCAGAACCCAACTGTAATTTTTACTCCAAACAGCACTGCTCTCCTCAACATGCCTCCCATCCACCTCTTGTGATTGCACCCAGCCAGGAGACCTCACAGATCAATATTATGACTGTAGACTAAAAAAAAAGAAGTCTCAACTTAGTTGCTGGTGTGCTCTAGGGCAAAACAGAGGGATTGAAAGTATCACCACTTACCCTTGCTGCCCTCCTTAAAGCACTTGCAAATTCCAGAAATGCAGGGGCAGTTTTCCTGGCAAACTAACTTTCATTAACTGTAGATATGCAGACAGTATCAGTAACTCCTGAGCAGAGGGAAACAGGTTACAGTGCAGTAGCAGAGGGGTTCAGACTGGTAGCAGCTCACAAGGCTGGTTTACTGGTATTAAAATGCTTGTAAGAATTAAAAAAAAAAAAAAAAAAAAAAAATTTAAAAAAGCAGCTAAAAAGGCTGTTGTGAGAACACATCTCAGGGAGAAGGCTGCCAAGGAGTAAGGACTTCAACAGCTCTGAGCACCTCATAGACTCCGAGCATGGGAGCTGTTGGGTTGAAGGTGTAAGCAGAGGGAAGGGACCATCCCAGGGAGTGGCATTTGTCACCACTGGTGGTGACAGAACCTGGAACAGCTGATTTTCTTAACAAACTAGAAGTTGCATTCAATTTGCCTAGCAGAAATTGTGCTAAAGCTAGAGAAGAAATACAGAGTGGGTGTGAAGAGGAAGGCAAATGAGTGGCTGGTGTTTTGTCGAACACAAGCACTATCTCAGCCGGTAAGTGTTGATTCTGAGTTACCTCAGACCCTAAAAAGGGAAAGCCTGAAAATGAGAGACCGAGTATAAATACAGAGGTGTTGATGGCCTGAAGAAGGGGAGACAGGTCGCTGCTAAGCAGCTACACATGGAAAGCACACAAAACCCAGCTTTTATTACAGTCCGGTGATAGAAACTTCGAATATAAAGGTCTTGTACTGACAAGGCTGAAGACCACAACACTGAAAACATAGTCGATGCTGTTCAGAAGAAGCAAAAACCTGTGTTCCCCTCCAATGCAACTGCATGGGGCTGATTGTAAAACCAACTTTCTAACATGAAGACTGAGCACACTGGAGTGAATCCAATCAGCCAAAGCATCCAGCTACCACCACAGACACTCATTTCCCCAATCAGACCACAAAGACACACTCCTAGCTCAAAGGATATCTCATTTGTGGGCTGCTGTAGTGCAAAAGTCAGGTGCTAGCGCCTCACAGCACTGTTTCTTAGCAGACACCAGCTCCTGGGTGGGCCAGGGTATGTGTGTTTATTCATTCCTACTGTGCCTTTGACTAGATGCTGAGATATAGATCAGGTTTTTGCTTCATGGAACAAATGCACGCCTGAAACACCTGTTGAAATCTGCTCCCACACTTGTTCCAAGCATCGCTGGCAAAGTGAGTTGCTCACCCTGTGCTTTAACCCCTTCATCTGCACCAAGAGGTGGCAGCAGGGTCCTGCTGCCCCAGCAGGGGATGCAGGGCTGGGTTAAAATCTGAGTTTTCTTCAGGGGCATGGGTGACTCAGAGCTGTCAAGACAATCCTGGCTACAAAGACAGGAAGAAGAGGTGAAGAGCTTCAAAACAAAGAGAGGGGAAACAACATCCTAGGGCAGCAGCAGAGGCAGCTGCAGGGCAGGAGTGGAGGCAGGTGTGTCAACACTGCCATGCTCTGCTCTATCCAACTGCCTGTTCAGACACAGCTAGCAGGGCAGCACCATGCAACCCACTGCCCTGCTCCACCAGGTCAATTCAGAGTCTGTGCTGAAGCACCTCGATGGCCAGCTCTAAAGTTTGTCTCACACTGCTGCAAAGGAATAAAGCAGAATGGAGAGGGTGGGGATCCGGCCCAGAGTGCAGCACTTTTCGGGTGGTCTTGCTTTGGTGCACACACAGCTCAAAGTGACCATGTCTGAGACACCAGACACAGCATTGACCAAAATGGATCTCTGTATCGATGCCAGAACCCAGCTCTATTCACCTTCAACCTGACTTTTACAGAATCTAACAGAGGCAGGCAAATCCAGCCCACAGAACTGCCAGCACAGCTCAACCAACACCAGCAGTCAAGGTGAATTTGAACTTCCAAGAGTCAAAACTTTACTAGAGTCCTCCTACTTGGCACCTACACAGTCCCTCCAAGGTCCCTCTCAGACAAATACATGATGCTGAGCAAACACCCGACTCCGTGTCCCTGCCTGACTTGTTTTAAAGTGCTGTAAAAAGCAGTCTGTTTAAAACTGCATCACGAGCACCAAACATTCATGTGATTCTCAGCTTTGCACAAACAGTTAGCAGCAACATCAGAGAGCAACCAGAGACTTCAGAGAAATAAGCTCATGCTAGCAGCCATTAATTCACACCTAGTAGGCTTCCATGAGCAGTGTGCAGCAGGCAGCCCACCTGGGACAAGGTTCTTCTCTGAGCAGTGCTTTCATTAAACAACCATCATCAGGACCCTGGCTCTTGGCTCAACGGGAAGATTAGCTCTTGCTGGATGTCAGTGGTGGTGCAAGAAGATCTGGCAGTGAACGTTTAGATGCAAGCTCATAGACAGACACATTCAATGCTGTTTCAGGAAGCATGGTGAAAAGAATCTGCTATATGTCAAGTGCTGTTATGTTTTTCATGTGGTGGTTTTTATTAGATTGTGCGTTTTTTGTAGTTTGTTGGGTTTTTGTGGTTTTTTGTTTTTTGGTGGTTTGTTTTTTTTTTTTACATGCACTTTAAAATGTCTAAGCATTCAGCTATTGTTTGGTGCTATTAAGCAGGCTGTTCGAAATCTCATCTCTGGCAGTCATCCCAATTAAGCAGGCATCCCGTTGATCAGCTTTCTGATCACATGGGATTTGTTCTGCTGCTGCATCTGATCTAATACTTTCTGCTTTGAAGAATTTCACGTGTAGCCAGGAGGCCCCACCCTTCTCATTTAGAGAGAAAAAAAAAAAAGTATCTCAAAGCCTGCTTCCACTGGCAGCATCTTTGGGAAATCAAAGGCAGTTGAAAAAGCAATCTCTTGTTTGTCCTGAAATTGATGTGGAGCAAGTCGG